TCTCGGCCATGCAGATTGTGGGATACAAGGCCGGCTTTCGCCAGGACACTTGCCTGAAAAGTTAGGGAGCTTGCAATGCTTCCAGTGTAAAGCCTTTTTTGTCAACGCATCGGAGGAAGGTTTCGAGCCGTATGCTATGCCAGCCCTGAAGACCATGGTGTCCGGTCAGAAGCATGGGCCGCTTGTCATCCTGAGTGCGGAGAAGATTACCCAACAAGGTCTGAAGGCGCGGCCTGCTGGGGTCATGTGGCACAATGCTTGCATCCCAGTCATCCGAGGGAAGAGCTGGGAAGTTCCGACGCTGATCAATGAGATGAAAAATTCAAAAGCCGATGCCGCGAAGAACATCTTGTGGCCAACGATGTGTCCAGGCGACGCTGTTTATATTCCGCCGCAATACTTGGTACAGGGCCAGTGCCTGGCGCCTACACGGGGCTGCGGGCTGTTTACCTGTGCCTCAGGGTCCATGTACTCATTTAGTAAATAGTAGTATATAGTAGTACATGCTTCGGCCTTGAAGTAAACCTTATAAACTTATAGGATGCTAAATAAAACCATAAAAAGGAACTACTTTGGAGCCTATGGGTAACCCTTAGAGTGCAGTTAGTTTCGGGATTTACAGGTACGGCTGTTAGGCCTAAGCCCTGTAAGCCTTAAAATCTACATCGTAAAGCATAAAGAACCTAGAGAGTCCATCTACACCACAACCATGATGGAATTGGTTCCCAAATGACCATCCTTTTTAGGGGGAACTACTGTTGATGATATAAATCCTGCATTACCTTAAGGACCCTAAGCTATGGGAATTATGGTACATTCCTTATTCTGTGTATTGCAGCATTCATATCATCAGCCGTAGTTCCTAATCGCAGTATGTACTGGGCCGTATGGACCCTCTTGGAACTTAAAGTTGCTACGGATTACGTGTTAGGCATACCTTTCGGGGTTCATCGCCGCTCGAGCCTCAGATTGAGGCCGGGGTTTGTGTTTAGGGTTTAGGTTGGAGGGTTTTTAGGGTTTCGGGTTGAGGGGTTCAGGCTTTAGAGGCTTTGGGTCTATACAGTGTCCATTGTAGTTCCTTTTTTTGGTTTAACCAATTCTACATAAAGGAACCCAAAAGGTAACCCCAAAAAGGAACTACAATGGAGACTATAGGTATACAGTGTCGAGGTTTCAGGAATTAAGTAAAACCCACTAGGGCAGAGAATTCTGACCTTCGCGGGTTGCCGAGCTCCTAAATCCCTAAACCGTAAACCCCTAAACCGTAAACCCCTAAACCTAATCCCTAAACCCTAAATCCCTAAACCCCTAAACCCTAAATCCCTAAATCCCTACCTATTAGTCCTGTTTTGTTGTTCCCTTTGAGTCGGGAGACCTTGTCTGCATCCCGAGGATCCTGAGTCTGAAGCCGAATAACACACCAAAAAGGCAAATACCCGGGAGACTAGTTATACATATACTACGGGTTTAGGGGTTTAGGGTTTATAAGGGGTTAGGGGTTAGGGGTTTAGGGTTTATAAGGGTTTAGGGGTTAGGGGTTTAGGGTCTAGGGTTCTATGCCATATTGCCCTAATCCCAAGCCGCAAATTAACATGATGCTTCAAGCAAAAGCAGCGACGCGAACGAGAAACATGTGAAAGTTTTCAGGCGTGAGCAGCCCTGTACATCACCTGACGAAGATTGCTTCGTTCTCAGGAGGGTTTCGGGGGTTCAGCAGCTCGGGATTAGGGTTTACGGTCGAGGGTTTGGGGTTGAGAGGGAAATGTCGCCTAGACCTAGACCCCCTGATATAATATAGGGGTCCTATAATGATTAGAATAGGGTTTGGGGGTATATTCTACTATAATTATAATAAAGAACTCCCAAAACCCTATTCTCTTTTTGCTCCATCTGTACATGTAATTACTGTAGACAACATGCTCGAAGAGAGGTTGTTAGAACTTGTTCAAGCACCACGGCCCCCTTGGGTGGCTTGCTCCTCTCAGAGTTCCCGAAGGAGTACAACACTTCTTGCTCGCACAGGCCCAAATTCTATATCTAATTGTCGATATATGTAGAGATAGAGCTATAGTCAGCAGGACTCTGCAAAAGAACCGTCATGGGAATTCAGCTTACCCTACTGAAAAAAGGCAAACCCTAAACCCTAAGCCCTATAAAACCCTAAACTCTATAAACCCTAGACCCTAAACCCCTAGACCCTAAACCCTAAACCCCTAAACTCTAAACTCTAAACCCTAGATCCTAAAACCCTAAACCCCTAAACCCTAACCCTAAACCCTGAAACCCTAAACCCTAAACCCCTAAACCCTAAACCCTAAAACCCTAAACTCTAACCCCTAAACCCCTAAACCCTGAACCCCAGAGTTTCTAAAGCCTTATATATCCCTTCAGAGGAACCCTTATAGTACCCTTTAAAGAAACCCTCATAGATCCCTTCAAAACCCTAACCCCGGAACCCTTATAGATCCCTTTAAAGGAACCCGTATAGTACCCTTTAAAAAAATCCCTTATAGATCCCTTTAAACCTTAAAAACCCTTGTCATTCCCCAGTTCATTCGACGGGTCCTAACTTCCCTGAGGGCAAACCATGTCGTCCTACCTGGAGGTTCATGGGTACCCAAAGACTCCAGAACCCCTGAATTAAGGAATATCCGTAATATCAAAAAAGGCTGAACCTAAACGAATAAAGCTATGAAGTGACTGTAAAGTTCAACCTAGTAGATACTTGGAGGTTCATGGGTAGGTATAGGTAGGGTCATATTTCTCATGGTTATAGTTACCCTACGTATATCCCCACATATAACTACAGAGACTCCAAAACCCCTTAATTAAGGAATATACCTTAAATTATGATAGGAACCCTAATAAGATTTAAGGTATATTCCTTAATTAAGGGGTTTTGGAGTCTCTGGGAGCTTCGGTGACAGTGGTGACTGGCAGGATTGAAATCCCGATGGTGCACCCGAAAACTCGCATCCCCAAAAGACTCTTAGGTAACCCCTGGGTGAACCAGTCTTGACGACCCAAAAACCATCCTTTTCAGAGGTGACATATGGCGACTCTAAGCCCTAAGCCCGAAGCCCAAAATGCTGCTGATGCTATGAATCCTGCATTACCTTAACGGCCCTCAACTATGGGAATTATGGGGTATCTTGCCTCATTATGGGTGCAGCAGGATTTATATCATCCATCCCTAAACCCTAAACTACTAAACACTAAACCCCTACAGCCCCTAAACCCTAAACTCCTAAACCCTAACCCCTAAACCCCAAGCCCTAAGCCCCTAAACCCCTAAACCCTAAACCCTAAAGGCCCTAAAAACCCTGAACCCTACAGAGGCGACAGTGGTGACTGGACTTCCTGGTTCGTCTTCCAGGGTGCCGCCAACACCACGCTGGAAGGGACCACGGCTGGAGACCCAAAAGTAGGGCTTATAGGGTTTATTATAGGGTTTTAAAAGGTTTTATACTAGGGCTTCTAGGCTTTATTGGGTTTTATAGCCTTATAGGGTTCTATAGGGTTTATAGGGTTTACGGGTTTTATAGGGTTTAGGGTGCCTTAGAATGTGAACCGAATTGAATGAATATATATATATATATAGATGGGCCTTAGTAGTTAGAATGTGGGTTTTCTTTTGGGGACTGTGTAAGGGGTTTAAGGTGTTTGAGGGTCGTCGTCCAGGGTCCCAGAGACTCATATGAACCGGGCTCCTTTAGAGGATTCGTTGCTGTCAAAGGGTTTAGGGTTTAGGGTTTAGGGCCTATAGGGTTTAGGGTTTAGGGTTTGGGCTATAGGGTTTAGGGCTAAAGTTTAGGGTTTAGGGTTTGGGATTGTTGCAACAGGGGTTTATGGCTTAGGCTTGAAACTAGTGAGTCTTTATGTCTTACTTGGCATGGGGACCTCAATTCAATATATGGACTAGGGTTCCGTCAACTTCAGAGTTCTCTACCCAGAGACTCTGCAACCCCTTACTTGAGGAATATACCTTAAATAATTACCATAGGAACCCAAATACGACTTAAGTTTACTCCTTAATTGAGGGGTTTTGGAGTCTCTGGGTAGTGAGGGATTGCTATCAGAACAGGGTTCCCTGCAAGGTTCTATGCGAGATTTAGGGCCTTTGGGGGGTTTAGGGTTTAGGGTTGAGAGTTCTATTCTATGAAGGATTTAGGGCTTTTGGGGAGTTTAGAGACCATTTTAAGGAACCCAATGCTATGGGTAGCTTTGCATATACTGCTGATGTCAACGGTTTTGGAGTCTGAGGGCGAAGCAAAACAGAGAAACGGACTAAAGGCTGTGATGTCTGAAGCAGGAATCAGTGTTACTTGCGTCGTTGGATCCGTCAGTTTCGGGCTTTGGGATTTGGTTTTTCAGAAGTTTAGGGCTTATTAGGGGTTTAGGCCTAGGCTTAGGGACGGGATTAGGGTTTACCCTGAACCCTAAATACCCTAATAACCCTAAACCCTAAAAACCCTAGACCCTATAGGGAGGTTTAGGGTTTAGGGTTTTGTGTTCAAAAGACCGAACAATTAGAAACTTGGCCTTAGGGCAACAGCTCAGCAGCGATGCGTGCCAGTCTTGGCAAGCGTGTAGGTAAACTTTACGTGGTAAAGAGCTTTAGATTGCATAAGGCTTTACAAAACTACCGTAAGCCTAGGCCGTTCTTGAAGTAGTTCCTGACTTGAGTGCGTGCAACATAGCCAGAATTAGTCTTCAGCAGGAACGAGAAGCCATTTTTCTTTAAAGGGCCTGAGCCTTTCAATCTTCTGTCATCTTTTCTCTGGGGCGCGGGGAGAGCTACAACAGCATCGATTCCAAAGCCACATTCTGATTTCTGAGGCCCCCAAAATAAGTTGTTCGTCAGGACGGGAAGCATATGGTTCCTGGGAGGACGAACCCGAGTAGCGTCGGCAACTCTAAACCCTGAACCTTGAAACCCTATAAGCTCTGACACCTAAGCCAGTTTCTTCGTCGGCAAAGTTCGTTTCTTCGTCGGCAAGGTTCGTTACTTCGTCGGCAGGGTTCGTTTCTTCGTCGGCAAGGTTCGTTTCTTCGTCGGCAAGGTTCGTTTCTTGGGCAGGGTTCGTTTCTTCGTCGGCAATGATCGTTTCTTCGTCGGCAAGGTTCGCTTCTTTGTCCGCAAGGTTCGTTTCTTCGTGGGCAAGGTTCGTTTCTTCGTGGACAAATGTTCCTTTCTTGGGCAAGGTCCGTCTCTTCGTGGCAAGGTTCGTTTCTTCGTCGGCAGGGTTCGCTTCTTTGTGGGCAAGGTTCGTTTCTTCGTCGGCAAGGTTCGTATCTTCGTCGGCAAGGTTCGTTTCTTGGGCAATGTTTCTTCGTCGGCAAGGATCGTTTCTTCGTCGGCAAGGTTCGTTTCTTCGTCGGCAAGGTTCGTCTCTTTGTCGGCAGGGCTCGTTTCTTCGTGGGCAAGGTTTGCTTAATCGTAATCAAGGTTCGTTTCTTCGTCGGCAAGGTTTGTTTCTTCGTCGGCAAGGTTCGTTTCTTCGTGCGCAAGGTTCGTTTCTTCGTCGGCAAGGTTCGTTTCTTCGTGGGCAATGTTCGTTTCTTGGGCAAGGTTCGTTTCTTCCTAGGCAAGGTTTGGTTAGTCGTCCGCAAGGTTCGTGTTCTTCGTCGGCAAGGTTCGTTTCTTCCTCGGCAAGGTTCGTTTCTTGGGCAGGGTTCGTTTCTTCGTCGGCAATGATCGTTTCTTCGTCGGCAAGGTTCGCTTCTTTGTCCGCAAGGTTCGTTTCTTCGTGGGCAACGTCCGAACCCTGCGAACCCCACAATTTCAGACATTTAAAATATCTGTCCGAACCCTAAAATTGTAGTCTGAACGCCAAAGTAGTAATCCAAACCCTGAAATAGCAGTCCGAAATATGAATTAACGGAATCCTAAAGTAGTAGTCGAGCCCTGTCTGAACTTTAAAATGACTATCCGAATCTTTTTTCTGTCGAACTTTCATGAGAACATCAGTCCGGATCCATTTAGGGTTCCGTTTAGGGTCTCGAGCAGGGTTTCTTAGGGTGTCGGTCAGGTGTTTTCGCTTAGGGTCGTTGGGGTACCGTTTACACTTCCGTCTGGGGTTTCGTTTAGGATTTCGGGTTTCATTTCGGGATCAGGGAAAATGGTGAACTTTTATGGTGTTTACTGGTTTGGGATTCTTTGGGTGAATGGAATGTTTCCATGTTCCGAAGAGCAAGCTCGACTAGACACAGCTCGATCCGGAGCTGCTGAACCCTAAAGCTTAAAAACCCTAAGCCCCCCAAAACCCTGCAGGCCGTAAGCCCTAAACAACCCTCAACCCGAAGCCCTAGTTGCCTAGGTGGTGACCATCCGTGGGACGAAGAGTGCCTCGGCCCTGCTCTGGGGTTTCAGATAGAGTTTCATTGGGTGTCGGGTTTGTTAGGGTTTAGGGTTTAGGGTTTAGGTTTTTGGTTACGGTTTTTGCATTTGGTGTTGCGATGTTATGGTTTTGGATTTTGCGGCTTTGATACGATATGGGGGCTGCGTGGGCAATTTGAATAGGTGTTTCTGGTGTGTCGTCTTGGGGTTTGAGTTAAGAGTACGTAGGTTTCATCAGGTTTTTATGCAGTGTGAAAGGGTTTCTTTGGGTCTCATAGGTTTTCAATTTCAAGAGGGTCGTCTAGAGGTTTCTGGGGTTTCATAAGGCCAATACATCGGTTCTATAATTATAAGTGAAGGTCGCGCCTTAGTTAACCGAAGGGTCCACCTTTGTAGCACATACTTAGGCCTTAATGGGGTTCCTTTGTAGGTGCTTCTGGGCCTAAGTGTATATAGTGACTCGGTGCCTCACCTGGAGGTTCACGTGCAGTTATATAAGTGGAGTTATAAGTCCCAAAATATGGTTTATAGATATAGTTACCCTACTTATAACCCGATTTATAACTACCCATGCACCTCCAACTAGTTGAGGGCAGCAAGATGTAGGGTTGCACCCTAGGCTTCAATAGTATCAGTCATATCGCATCCTCTCATAATAATGCATCCAGGTGTTTACAGCAATTGGAGAACCAGCAGAGTTGCTGTCCATGAGATTTGCTAAGCAAATGGGTCTTGCGCCTAATTTCAAGGCGGTCATCAGGTGTTGCATGCACGCCTCCCAGAAAGCCTTGGAGAATGCCATAAAGGCTTGCAAGCCCGCACAGAAAGTGAACGATGATTTGATCTTCGCATACTCCTCAAGCTCGACGAACGGCCAGGCCAAAGACCTTGGAGGATTGAGTCGCGCCTTACGTAATTCTTGCAAGGTTAATGCGACTTTCATGCGGTACACGAATGAGTTTGATGCAGTCCTGGAAAAGGCCTGCAAGGTTAATTCTTTCGCTCCGCAGCGGTTCAACACCATCCTGGAAAGTCTCACAGGGGCTGATCTTGAATGTGACTCCGCTGGTGTCCTGCCTTGTCGAAATCCACAATCGAGATGAAAGACTGCGTGCGTGGGCAGCCAAGATGCTCCAAGCCCTCTGCCCAAAGAACCTGATCTTGCTATCGCTCTTGGCAGAGCTTGCTGCCTGCGCATCTAGGTTCTGTCATGCTTTTGACAATGCCAAGAGATCTGGGAAGCACAGCTCCATCACTCGGACTGCAGGACTGCTGGTGCAACTGGGGGAACCTGAGGGATAAAGAGGGAGAGTTGGGGAATTTAGGGTTCAGGAGTGTAGAGATTTAGGGTTTAGGGTTAAAGGTTTAGGGTTTCGGGGTTTAGGGGTTTAGGGCTTACCTGTTGCTCTTTTTACCTACAGTTTAGCAACCATGAGCCCTTAATGAGTAGGTAGAACCCGTAAAAAACTGTAGGTAATTAGAGTCCGAGGGAGGGCTTTGCCCAAAACTTGTTGATGCCAGCTGACCTGGACTTCATCATGGATCTCGATTTCTGGCCGCTGCCACAGTCCCTTTTCGCTCTCTCGAGGTCTTTGGTTCAGGGTAAGACAAGGGTTTCTAAAGGGCAGGTGTAGGGAACGATGAGACTTTTAGATTTATCTGGGTTTTGTAGATGTTTGGTGTGGGGCTTCTGGGTGATTGAAATCTTGACTTTAATCATAAAGCTTCTGTCGCACTTCGTGCCTCGCCCGTGTTGAGGGTTGTCCTACTTGGAAGTCCATGCATGACAGGCAAACCACCAACTTCCTAAATATTGGTAGCTACAAATGGGGGTTTCCGAAAATAGGGACCCTAATATACCCTAAAGAGTAGGAGCCTTATTATAAGGACCCCTCAAATTAAGGTACCTTATTTTAGGAAACTCCCAAATCTTAGCTCCAAATCGGGCTCATCGGCCCAGGGCTTGTGCTCTCGACTTCACAGTTGAGGAATCAGGGCATCTGCTGTTTTACACGAATTGCTAGAGCAGCTACCATCACAAGCAGCCGCAATAGTGTTGGTCGTGTAAACTTACTCACACGAACCCTAAGCCCTAATTCCTTAGTCATAGCATGCCAGCCTCGCAATACTTAGCCGACAGGGCCGCCCGGAACAAAAAGAAACAGGTTTTCCTAGAAAAAGCATTACCAACAGCCTTTTTGTAAGTATCTTCCATTTAGCTACCTTTCTTTGGCATTGAGAGATAATTTCCACAGGATGGGTGCAAAAGATCATTGACTTTGATCGAGCCCCTCCATGTAGCCACAAAGTGTATTTTTAGGCTTCAAAGTAATTTCCTATATAAGAACGCCTTTAGGGCTTAAGTATATAGTATATGGGCACATGGAGCCGTAGGGTATGGAAATTTCGCAGGCACCCCGAAAGAGCTGTTGTTCTACCGGCAATATCTATGATTTTAGGGTTTATCGGTTCGGGATAGGGTCAGTCCTTTTGCAGCAACAGCCGCTTTCGGACCAAATTGTCGGGTGCATTTCCAGTCCCTTGTGGCAACTGTTACTATAAGGGCGGTTTACTTCCATACATAGTGGTTTCTACCCGGCTCCTTGGAAAACAAGAAGCTTCCCTGGAGCCATTTAGGATTGGTTTCGGGACCCGTGTATTGTAATTCGAATTCCACATCCTGCATTCCCACTTTAAAGGACCCTGAAAATCCCAAGCCCTAGCCGCCGAAGCCGAAACCTTCCCCGAGCCGACATCCTGAGCTTCCCTATGTACTTGGGGGTTCATGGGACTTAGCTATTGTTATAAGAGCTTATAATATTATAAGTATAGTTACCTTCCTTATAACCCTGGTTACTAAGTCCCATGATCCTTTAAAAAAGCCCGAAACACTAGGCCAACAGCCCGAGTGTAAAGGCAGGAGTAGTTCTCAACATAATCTCCCTGGTTCTTAGTAAGGAATGGGGGAATGGATCTCTATTATAGTCCCTTAAGGTCCCCTTTTGTAGTCCCAATATCCCATTCCCCCATTCCCTACTAACAACCAGTCAGTAATGTGTAGCGTCTATTTATTGAGGCCCTTATATCCCTAGATCCCGTATAGAACCCGTAATAGGACCCATGGAAGGAGCACTATTCCAAATTCTGGGCTATCAAAGCCCCTATAGTAAGCCCCCACCATGCATCGCTGCCGCTTGGCTCAAGACCCAAGTTTTTCGATGTTCAGGGTTTAGGGTCTAGCTGCTAGCTGGCTTGCCTCTGGGGCCAAGCATGACTGGTTAAGGGTTTATAGGGCTATAGAGGCCTGGAAAAGCATAGGTAGCCCCTAAACCCTAAACCCTAAACCCTAAACCCTTAAACCTTAAAGCCCTAAACCCTCAACCCTAAATCCCACTAAACCCGAAACCCTAAGCCCCAAAATCCTAAACTCTAGACCCTAAACCCTAAAACCCTACGACCTTCCCAGAACTCAGCAGGTGGAACCCTGGGTGCTGTCGTAATCCCGGGCCCTTGCGGGGTGGGTTTCCCTTGACGGCAAAAGAATGGGTTTCGAGTTTACCTCTAGCTCTCTTTGCCTATGGTTTAGCAGCCATTACCCCTTAACTAATAGGTAGACCCTATAATCCTATAAAATTGTAGGCAAATAGAGTTCCAGGTTATACCCTAAACCCTAAATCCTAAACCCTGAGACCCTAAATCCTAAACTCTGAGACCCTAACCGACCTAGATCCCACATCTCATGAACACGCCTGGTGCCCAAGCGCAAGATGGAAGACGAGGAGCGCGAGGTGCGCCAATCGGCGGGTCCTTTGCCCAGAGACCCACAACCCCTCAATTAAGGAATATGCCTCAAATTATAATGGGAACCCTAATAAGACCTTAGTTAAGGGATTTTGGAGTCTCTGGGTGCTTAAGGCGCCAAAATGGCCAACATAGACGCCTGCAGTGCCCTAAACCCTAAACTGTTAAATAGTTAGCAATACTTTATTCCTCACGGCAGCACAGCAATTCTGTAATGTACCCACCCCCGAACCATTTTCTGATGATGATAGGAGGTTTAGGCTTTAGGGTTCAGGGGTTCAAAGGAGTTTGTACAGCGTTTCAGGTGTACACTGCGGTCTTGACTCACAGTTCAGGCCTTCGGGTTGAACCCTAAACCCTAAAACCCTAAACCCTAAACCGAATGGTCTTTGTATGGCGATTTCTTGGCGACTGTTGAGGCTTGGGGTACGATATGGTAAATACGGAGGGCCTAGACAATACAGCCCAACAAAGCCTTTGAGAAGAAACACACTGAAAAATCCATCTGAAGCAAACCTTCTAAAGCGAAAGAGCCCCTACCCCTTAAACCCAAACCTAACACTCTAAACCCTACCTGGAGAACTACCTTGGTATGGACTTATACAATGAATTCATAAT